ATTAAGCTACTCTAAATTGTGTTGTCTGTTACTTGTAGCCTTCCTTAGAGACTCACAGCTTCAACCAAAATTTTTTTTCAGTCCTTGTATAACTCAAGTCTTAAATTCCAGGAGAGAACACGCCCACCTTTTGCCTGCAGGAGAGGGTAGGCCACCTTCCTTAGCAGTCCCACCAAGACTGCATTTGAAGGATGGAAGTAATTCCCCAACAAGTAATTAGGGTTCTGTTATCAGAAGGGAGGGAGAATAGATGCCAAGTGTCTAACAATCAAATGTCCATTGTGGTAGGTACCATTGTGACAACTGATGATAACACAGAGATCAGAGTGGTGAAGTAGTATGCATAAGGCCTCAGAGCTAGTCAGTGATGACAGGCAGGAAAAAGGACCCTTTAGAACTGTTCTGCGAATGTATTGCATTTAAATAAAGGTCTGTTGCAGTGAGATCTTATTGTAAACCCAAATTTTATTTTATTTTTTTTTAAGATTTTATTGGAGAATTGGGGGAGGGGAACAGCGTTGGGGAATCAGGGAAGGGGAACAGACAAGTTGCTGTCCTTTTTTGTTCTTTGGTCTAGTTGTAGAGGACGTCGCTTCACTGGCCCATGTTGGTATTATCATTGCGCTCTTCCCAGGTGAGGCAGATTGGTCACTGGCCACTGGACGGCTGCTAACAGCGGCTCTTGGTAGCTCATGCTGGCTCACGGTAGCTTACGGGAGCCCACTGCAGCTCCACTGCAGCCTACACTGTCACCCACGACTCACAGCAGTCCAGCTCCAGGTCGAGCTGTTGTTCACCATCTTAGCTGTAGAGGGTGCAGCGTCACTGGCCCTAATGTGGGATCCAAACCGGGGCCCTGCTGCTGAGCTGGCGTCCCAAGCCAACTCTTAACCAACATGCCACTCAGCCAGCCCTGTAAACCCAAATTTTAAAAAATTCTCAAAACTACTTTATTCACATCATATATACATTATTTCCATTCCAATCTTTAGTGGGTTTTTTTGTTTTGTTTTGTTTTGTTTACTTTTTCCTATGGCTCAGGGAAAAGGGTGGTTTAGTTGGCAATTGTCAGTAGAATTAACCCTTTGCACTAGTAGTTGCCTTGGTCAGGGATATTTGGTAACAAAGAACAGAAACCTTCTCCAATTATATAGTTCAGGCAACACAAAAGGTCTGAGGGAGCTACAGTATGGAGAGCCCTTACTGAATCCACAGGCAGTCACCAGACACACAGTACCAGTTAGTGAAATGGGCTGGGAACTGCACTTTGTAAACACTCTGAGGGGTCTGGGTATGGACACCACTATTCGTAGTTACTGAGAAAAATTAAGTGAACTTGTATATATAATGCTTGGAATAGTGCCTGGCAGCCAGTAAACCCTCAAGCTGTGACTACATTTCCATGTTGAAAAATTTAGTATCAGGTCCCATTCTGTCTACACTGGTAGAATTTATGAATTATAATGCTAGGCTCCAGTTCTGGCCACAGGACCATATCACACCAACACATGAGAACTGCTTACATTCCTGTAAGGGCTACATCTTCTCGGCATCAGTATTTTAGGTTGACTGATATCTGTAAAACCTACAGCCAGATTGGGTGGGGTTAGTTGAGCCAGCATGTGCACTGGTTATATATATATATATATATATATATGGGATCGACATACTGGGGTTGGCTAACATGCATGTAGCCAATAATAGCAAAGATAAAATTGGCAGGGGCCGGCCGAGTGGCGCGATGGTTAAGAACTGGCTTGGGACGCCAGAGGGCCTGGGTTTGGATCCCACATGAGGGCCAGTGACACTGCCCTCTACAGCTAAGATGGTGAACAACAGCTCGACCTGGAGCTGG